CTGCCGGTGTTGGTCATCGTTGGGTGGGCCGGGAATGATGTGTATGGCGAAGGGGGTTACAGAGGTGTCCATTGGATTCACAGGGCTGCCTACAACAAATCTGCTGCCGACCGGGAGGTCACGGCCAACTGGTGTGAGCGGCAAAAGGCAAGGGTTGAGCGGTCTGTCAATGAATTGGGCCAGCTCAAACGTGATGAACCCCGAATCCTGGACATCGTGATCGTGGGGCATGCTGACGCGGACATCTTTGCTCTCCCGTCGGCCTACAACGAGACCATGCGCGTCCACATCAAGGCACTGCGCGAGGACCATGGCATCCAGACCCTCGACACTACCCTGATGCTTGCCCGGACTGTGAGGTACGACAAGGTGCATTTGGAAGACGACGCCATCAATCGGAAGTATGTTACCAAATTTACCAACTTCCTTCAGGCCGTCGCTGACTGTCACCTTTCCTACCTCAAGCTCATCAGCGTCGACGACCATTTGAGGACACTCCCAAGAATCGAGGACCTCCAGGAGCAAAAGAACTACCCAAACCTCACCATCCTGAAGGCCGCGTACCAGCTTGAAATTGATTCGAATGTCTCCTCACCGCAAGATCTTCCTCAACGACCCGATCCTGAGAAGATCATGCTTGATGCAGACATCGAGATTTTCAACTGGGTGCTTCAAGCTGAGGAGAACGCCACAGCCTCTGCCGACCGGGAGGTCGAGTCCTGGATGAGAGACATTCCTGAAGAGGACCAGGCATTGGAACCAATGCATCAAGACAACGCTGATTCAGACGATGAGGCTGTCAAGGTCCAGGCTCTCACCATGGAAGACCGAATCCAGGCAAGGCGACAAGGCCTATCCGAAGAGCATGACCAGGAATGGCAAGATGCCACCTATGCGGCCGAGGATGAAGAGGAGGAGTTCAAAGGATGGGACCTCATCGAAGATGACAAACGCCCGCCGGGAGTCGTGGCCAGTGATCCAGTGCATGAAGAGGAGAAGGAGCTGGACATTGACGACCTCGAGACGGTGGCTTCGGTGGAGATTGTCGATGAAGAGGAGTTCCACGACGTCGAGGAGGGGCAGGCCGAGGCAATCGACGACGATGACGATGATGACATGGCCGTGATCGACAAGGTCTCTTCTATGCAGGCCGAGAAGTCTGATGCACGGGGGGACCCGGAGCCCATGGATGTTGATGATCAGGGCAACAAGATGGTCCAGAGTACGGCATCAGCGAAGACCTGGAAGACGGAGATGGCCCAGAGCTCGTCATCGGCAAAGACGTGGAAGACCGACATGGCTCAGAGCACCTCATCGGCGAAGACATGGCGAACGGACACCACAGCAGCTGCGTCGGCGGGAGCCACGCCTCCTGACCCGACTTAATTCCAAGCTCAAGCCCAAGAAGAAGGCCATGCCAAAGAGATTGAAGGTTGTCGATGAGGGACATGGCCCAAGCGCTGAGCAGTTCGACACGTCGAAATTTGCCACGGCACAGGATCTGGTTTGGATTGAGCCGGACAACATGGCAGGAGTCCCTGTGCGCAAGGTGGACTACGGAAGGCTTAGCTCAATTTCCCATGCTATGTCCGACTGACTCCGTGGCCACCGCTTGTTTCACAGGAGGCCTTCACCAGAGATTCGGAGGACTGATTTGTCAATGGACTTCAAGGCATCGGTGAGGCATCTCCAAGGAGATTTTGCGCATCTTCGAGAGGAAGAAGTTTTGATGGTAGTGCGCAACTCCCCGATGCGTCGCTTCAGAGTCCAGGTGAATGGCTTGTCGTCCGGAAAGCTCAGGTGGACGCCAGTGAGGATCAGGGCCATTCAGGGCCACCGGGCCTTTCTCGTGGAGCAAGGGGGGATGTCGACCATGATCAAAACGATGTTCACTTTTGATGAGAACTTCGACGAGACCAAGGTTGACGACCCATCGGTTCACCCCGCTTTCTCCGCGATGCCGGAAGGCTCGCCTGTGTGGAACAAGTTCCCCAGGGTGGTGTATCACACCTGTGACCAAGCCGCCTTCAACTCCATCAACAAGTTCGGCCTCATCCCTGGCGGATTCCCGTACAAAACGGGCAGAGCCCACAACTTTTTCAACTCCACTCCGCCCTGGAAAGCGGAAATGAACAAGTTGCAAGGTACGCGGGCCGGGAGGCCAATCGCCATCGCGTTCGACATGGAGCTCATGATGCAAATGGGCTACAAACTTTTCGCGACTGACGAGGCCAGCCTGTCGCCAGACTGGATATCGAACCTCCCGATGATCAACGCCTTTGATATGCGTTCTGGCGAGTTTTTCTATATCAACAGGGCTTATGTCAACCATCGGAAGACTTACCAGGAAGTCCTCAAACAGGCCAAGGCCGAGTTTGATCCCGATGACATCCTCATGAGCCGCATGGAAATGTTGATGGAAAACGCTCAGCTGAACTTTGACGGCATCAAAGAGCGCATTGAGTTTGGCAAGCTCCTCCCCTTCTCCAGGCGCGAAGACCTTCAAGTGGAGAAAAGCACTGCCACCCGGGAGGGTGAGCCGGCATCAGGTTCTCAGCTGGTGCCTGGCTACACCGTTGCAAAGATGGCCGCCATGACGAGCACTGATGCATGTGGATTTCAGCGTCGTGGGCGGAACGGACCCGGTGGTGGAAATTGGAATCGAGGGCAAGGCCGAGTTGGATTTGAGTTGCAATTCAAGGACATTTCCTACAACCAGATCCAAGACTCCCCTCAGGTGCGCTGCGGCCACCCGATCTGCGGATACCTCATGATGGACGGGCATTTGAAATGTCCACGGTGTTTTCGACAAATGGAACCCGTGACGGATGCCAACATCGCCACAGAGGTTGCCCGCTGGGAGGCGATGGCCCGTACCAGAGGTGTGCCCTTCTCCATGGACAAGGTGATCTTCAACCATCCTCGGAGAGGCAGGGTAGCCAGACAGCCAGAGAAGGGATCATCATCTTCTTCGACGGCCATCCGGACCAGAAGCACCTATGGCAACTTGAGAGACATGGCCCGCAACTACGTCAGATCTTTCAAGAAAAGGGGCTTCAAGGACCTTGTTGACAGACTCGTCCGCGACCCATTCTTTCAGTTCAATGCGGCGAATCAAAACTTGGTGCCGGAGGCCTTGCTCTTCATTGAGCGTCTGGCTGGCTGCGTGAGTCCGACCATTGAGCGCACCAAGGCTCAGGTTCTGGGTGAAAAGCTTGAGATGGCCACCAAATTGATCTTTGTGCCATCGTCGGAGCGGGAGCCCGACCAACCCTTGGATCTTCACACCGAGGTGTTTGTGTCGCATCGGGGCGTCTTTCTCGACATTGGCCAGTTCGCAGTCTATGTGGCAAAGTTCATCAAGCCAAAGCAAAGACCCCTATACCCATTGTTTATGGCTGGGGCAACCGTGACTTTGTGCCTGATGCTTCGGATGCCAAAGAGATCGCGAAAGAGTTGGTGGAATTCAGCAAGCTGCAGTGGTCGAACTATGCCTCCCAACAGACGCACAAGGAGTCTGAAACCACCGGCGACGACCGGGAGGTCAGTCTACCTCATGCAAGTGGGCCCATTAGCCTACCTGAACATGAACGACCCCATCACGAGCAATTCGAGCCGAACCTTGGCAAGCCTGCTCGCGGAGGTCCTTACGGTCAAAGCCATGGTGGAAAAGGTCATTACAAAGGCGGAGGACAGACCAAGGGAAAGGGACAGCAGAAGGGAAAGGGCAAGCAAGGCAGAAGCCCACCGGGAGGTGTGGCCTATGGTGACTTTGAAGGAGATTCCTACTGGGTTCAGGGCTACCGCTACACGTGGTACTGGAATCAACAGCGAGGCTGGTACTGGCGCTGGGCCTGAACTTTGGGATGACTCGCATTGACGCTTAGGTCATATCTTTCTTTTTCAAGTTTGCTTGCCGGGAGGCATGCCTGTCTATGACAAACTTGGCAGGCATTGCACCCATTGAACAAACCAAAGCTTTGACGCACATTATGCACTATCCTATCCAAATGAACTTTAATGCACAAATTTCCGCACAGTTTGAATGAATTAAAACTTTACTTCTATGACTTCTCAAGCCATACCATTGGATGTTCAAGGCAAGGGGCAAATCAATTCACACCTTTCATGGCTGTACAGTTTTTCCTGCCATGGTATCCTTTTGGAGTGACATCACAGGAATGGTATTGTTCCTTCATTCCATTTGAAGATGCCTGGCGGGAGCCACGGCCATGCTGTGTGCAACTTCGAGCCCAATATCGGCGCAAAAGGAATATGTGAGCCTTTGCATTCGCCAGACATTGCCTTGACATCCGCAAGACCCATGCCAATATGCATCCGACCTAGTTGTGTAGCTTTGAACTTTTCCGTTCACTCAGGTCTCTTTGCGGCGGCGTACTGCAGGCACAGTTATACTGGAGCTGCCAAGCAGCTACAGTATACGGGGGGTATTTTTACGGGATAGTAATTAATACTGTTCTTACTCCCCTGTAAAGTGTGCCCTGTAGTAATTGTACATTCTATGGACTTTATGGCTCAAGAACAAAACAAGTGCGTTTGCTTACTGGCTGTTTGAGGCTGTTTAACCTCTAAGTATATTTTTCCATAGTTATGTTGAATTCCCCGAGAGTAAGTGGTTCGTTTCAAAGACCTCTTGTTTCTGGATCCACAATCGAACGGTACGTTGGATGCTGATTAGTGGATACCCTTCGCACAAACAATGAGGGGCAGCCAATCATCGATGTGGAATCAGCTGCCATGGATGATTTCGAACATTTTTCCTGGGTCCCAAGGTTGAGGCGGCTGAGGCCAGAAGCCAATACGAATCAAATCACCAAAGATCAGCTGGTATTCGGCTGGTTTGAGTTACTTTGGTATCTTTTGGTTTATATATATATATAATATACTTTTAAAACTTTAGGTTGGTGGTTTTCTAACATTTTCACTATCAGTCAAGCCATGGGGAGCCGAAGCAGAGAGTCACCGAAGCACGGCGCCAGTCGCTGGAGCTTGTCGTCTCAGACATCTCAACCATCCATTCGATCTCGCAGGGTCTGGTCCTTGGTTCTTGTGGAACTGCACATATAAGTCACATATATGCCAAAGTGGTGGTATATAACATTCCTATAATTTTGGCAGCCTTTTATTCTAACATTCTTCTCTGGTCGTTGTTTGTTCCATATACTGGTTGGTGCTCAAAGGAACACACAATCCCTCATCTGTTTTCAGCCCTGCTGATTTCGAGTCCTTGATGAAGTTGGAACAATTGTAGAACAAACTGGCCATTTGTAGATGATTTACTTATTCTGATATCCCCCATGTATAGTTCACTATAAAGTGGACATCCTTTGCGCTTATAAAGTGGGTTTCCGGTCGCCACTTTATATACCGACAATGGGGGATAAAGCCGTGTTTTGCGCGAGAAGCATGCCCTTGGACCTGGAAGATGACTTTATAGCAACGTTGGCTTTCCAGTTTATACCCGGCTGGTTCCCCACAAGGAAACGACTCAATATATGCGGCAATGCATTTTATAGACCGTTGGTTCCCTTCAAAGAATGGCCATAATATGTCACACCATCCACTTTATAGAAACATGTCTCCCCAATGATTTCGGGCCAATATCTTTCTGTTGGGGCTGTATACATGGCAAAGCACTTTATAGAGTGAAACTTGCCCTTTAAGAAGAAGAATTTGTGCTGCATCCAGGGCACTTTATAGAAAGAAAATTGCGGCAGAGCATTTTATAGAGTCATGAGGTACATCACCCAAATCACTTTATAGAGCTGCCCAGGACCCCATTCACCCTGAGGACCCCTTTCAAGGGAAATCTTCTTCTCTATAAAGTGGCCAGTCCAGGTAAAACCCCTGAAAAAACAGAATCTATGTTGGACTGGCCACTTTATACCCCCTCCCCAAACAGAGAATGCCTCTATAAAGTGGCCAGTCCAGGTAAAACCCCTGAAAAAACAGAATCTATGTTGGACTGGCCACTTTATACCCCCTCCCCCAACAGAGAATGCCTCTATAAAGTGGCCAGTCCAGGTAAAACCCCTGAAAAAAAACAGAATCTATGTTGGACTGGCCACTTTATACCCCCTCCCCCAACAGAGAATGCCTCTATAAAGTGGCCAGTCCAGGTAAAACCCCTGAAAAAAACAGAATCTATGTTGGACTGGCCACTTTATACCCCCTCCCCCAACAGAGAATGCCTCTATAAAGTGGCCAGTCCAGGTAAAACCCTGAAAAAACAGAATCTATGTTGGACTGGCCACTTTATACCCCCTCCCCCAACAGAGAATGCCTCTATAAAGTGGCCAGTGTAAAACCCCTGAAAAAACACATTTTTACCTGGAATGGCAACTTTATACCCCATCCCCCAACAGAGAATGCCTCTATAAAGTGGCCAGTCCAAGTAAAACACCTGAAAAAAACAGAATCTATGTTGGACTGGCCACTTTATACCCCCTCCCCCAACAGAGAATGCCTCTATAAAGTGGCCAGTCCAGGTAAAACCCCTGAAAAATTCATTTTTACCTGGAATGGCCACTTTATACCCCCTCCCCCAACAGAGAATGCCTCTATAAAGTGGCCAGTCCAGGTAAAACCCCTGAAAAAATCATTTTTACCTGGAATGGCCACTTTATACCCCCTCCCCCAACAGAGAATGCCTCTATAAAGTGGCCAGTCCAGGTAAAACCCCTGAAAAAACAGAATTTTTGTTGGACTGGCCACTTTATACCCCCTCCCCCAACAGAGAATGCCTCTATAAAGTGGCCAGTCCAGGTAAAACCCCTGAAAAAACACATTTTTACTTGGAATGGCCACTTTATACCCCAGCCAGTGGGCTCCAGGACTTTGACCCGGAAACGGAAGGACTGACAACAAGGTAAAGGGGGAAAACTACAACGGAGAGGTACAACGGGAAGGCTACCACAAGAAAATGAGACATGTCACGTTTATATACGTTTATTGTTTTCAATGTGTCATATAGATTGGCGATGATTGGTATATTGAATATGTTGTAGATGTATTTTGGAACATATGTATACCTATGATTCACACATCAATATAAATATATATAAATCATAAACACATGCCAAACCAAAAACTTTTAGCTGAGTATTGTATTCCCAATCTGTTGGCAAATGTCCAGCCGATTCACCATGCGTGACCCAACAAGATTCAAACTATGGATTGTTTACTTTTGAAAAAAATACTGGGTGAATCTACGTATATCTATGACGACAATCTCCCAAAATCATCCTAAAAATCTATGGACATCTATGGACCAAAACCACGGCCACATGCCCATCCTCTATAAAATGGTTTGCAAGAAAGTTCAGCTCTATAAAGTGGCTTGATCACGTCATTTCTGGCAGCCCCACCCTCTGTATAAACTGGCCGGTCCATGCCCATCCTCTATAAAATTGTTTGCAAGAACCAGTAAAAAAATATTTTCGAAAGTAAACAATCCATAGTTTGAATCTTGTTGGGTCACGCATGGTGAATCGGCTGGACATTTGCCAACAGATTGGGAATACAATACTCAGCTAAAAGTTTTTGGTTTGGCATGTGTTTATGATTTATATATATTTATATTGATGTGTGAATCATAGGTATACATATGTTCCAAAATACATCTACAACATATTCAATATACCAATCATCGCCAATCTATATGACACATTGAAAACAATAAACGTATATAAACGTGACATGTCTCATTTTCTTGTGGTAGCCTTCCCGTTGTACCTCTCCGTTGTAGTTTTCCCCCTTTACCTTGTTGTCAGTCCTTCCGTTTCCGGGTCAAAGTCCTGGAGCCCACTGGCTGGGGTATAAAGTGGCCATTCCAGGTAAAAATGTGTTTTTTCAGGGGTTTTACCTGGACTGGCCACTTTATAGAGGCATTCTCTGTTGGGGGAGGGGGTATAAAGTGGCCATTCCAGGTAAAAATGTGTTTTTTCAGGGGTTTTACCTGGACTGGCCACTTTATAGAGGCATTCTCTGTTGGGGGAGGGGGTATAAAGTGGCCAGTCCAAAATAGATTCTGTTTTTTCAGGGGTTTTACCTGGACTGGCCACTTTATAGAGGCATTCTCTGTTGGGGGAGGGGGTATAAAGTGGCCAGTCCAACATAGATTCTGTTTTTTCAGGGGTTTTACCTGGACTGGCCACTTTATAGAGGCATTCTCTGTTGGGGGAGGGGGTATAAAGTGGCCAGTCCAACATAGATTCTGTTTTTTCAGGGGTTTTACCTGGACTGGCCACTTTATAGAGGCATTCTCTGTTGGGGGAGGGGGTATAAAGTGGCCAGTCCAACATAGATTCTGTTTTTTCAGGGGTTTTACCTGGACTGGCCACTTTATAGAGAAGAAGATTTCCCTTGAAAAATTCCTCAGGGTGAATGGGGTCCTGGGCGCGCCGCGCGCGCGCGCGCGCGCGCGCCAAAAAGGTCTCAAAATTGGAGCCATTTTGGCGCGCGCGCGCGCGGCGCGACCAGGACCCCTTTCACCCCAAGGACCCCTTTCAAAGGAAAGTGTGTTAGAGGCATTCTCTGTTGGGGGAGGGGGTATAAAGTGGCCAGTCCAAATAGATTTTGTTTTACCATAGATTCTGTTAACGACTTCGATATAGATATTTGTCTGGCTGTCGGTTTCGTTCGGTTTCGAAGTCATTCGAAGTCTTTTGGGTTCCCCATCGATGAGATCGATGATATTCCCCCAAGGTTTGAACGTGGCCCCTCAACTTTATAGACAATCATGTCGATGCTGCCATCGTCGCGATTAAGAAAATCATCGCTACTACAACGATCGTTGTTTAGCCGGAAATCCACATTATAGTGCCACTGTTCTGCACAAGTATTACTATCTGGATGTTCGGCATCTCACTTTATAGTCATGGGACATGTTCACAAGTACCCTCAAAAACCTGCATCGAGTTTTATGTTTTTACGCGGCCAGGCGACTTTATACAAACGTTGGATTTTGACTTTATAGACAAAACATGTTGGCTTTCCACTTTATAGACTCCAGACATGTGGCCATTCCAGTTTATACCAGGCTATTCTCTATAAAGTCGGCCGCAAAGCATCTAGCGGGCTATACATGGGGGATATTCTGATCATTAATCAAAAGTTTTGGTTTTCAATGGCTACCGTGGACTACTGTATGTTAGAATGCCAGAGGATATATAGATGTCATCAAGAGGTGACGATTCTCTGCAGATCCCAAGGTGACCTACAAGTACAGCCAGCCACTCGTTTGAACCAGAGCGAGCTTTGGCCAATGTGAGGTAGCATATAATGTGTTAAACCAAACCATAAACCATCCCCAAGTCATCACCATTTTTATGGGTGGGATTTCAACCATCCTCAAATGGGATGTTGTTTATGGCAGCCAGAGTTGCCCACATTCGCCCGCATATCTGGGACATCCGCCGATGTTGACCTCCTGGTGCAGATCCAATGTTGTGATTCCGCCGATGGTCTGGGAATGTTTGGTGCTGTGCAGCCAGCTTTTTTTTTGATGTGTGTGTCATGTGTGTGTAATACTGTAACAGCTGTATGTGCCCAAAGGATCCTAAGTCAATCCAAGTGAGTCTAGGTGAATCTAAGTGATATCGCAAGTTATATTATGTGATATTAAGTGAGATTAAGGGATACTGAGTTGAGGAACAAGTCCGATTCACATCTTGGCTTTGACATTTTCTGAAGGATTGAGTCGCCAGTTTGGGGCCCAAAGCACCAGGCTCATTCATCGTGTGCCCAAGGGTAGCCGCAGGGTGGGTATCTCAGTTCATGGGCAACTGACCGTGGAATTATATATATATATATAATATACATATCACAGAGATATATCGATAGATACGTGTGCACACACACACGTATATATATATATATATATATATGCAGCATTATATGCACATACTCATATTCATAAATACGTGCATTTGGCGCATTTTCCGTAAATTGCACCTCTTGCTACATTCGTGTCACTACTATGCATTCAGCCAATTTATTGGACATCGATTGAAAACCATTGAGGCATCTTTGCCACCTGTCTATGTGGGCAGCCGCGTGCGCCGCGGGGCCTTTGCGGGATAGCCGTAGATCAGACAGGCATAGATTCTCGCCATACATTGTAGCCATAGAATTGGGGCTATAGAAAAACAGAAGGGGTATCCCTGGGGGGGTGGAGACGTGCAGATTGTAGAAACGTATGTTTTTTTTTGGACTTTCTAATCAGAATGCCTCCATTTGCTGATCTGCAAAATAAATATTATTGCCAACCAAGAATGCCCACAACCCATGGAGAAACCAAAAAAAGACACGTCACCCCATGTCCGCTGTCCAGCTTCTCCTCAGACCCTCTCCGTGGGTCGAAACTTTTCTATTGTATTTTTATTGTTTTGTTGATTTTCCCGGGGTTTTTACCGTAGTAGAGGTACTGTATGCCGAGGTTTTGGCTCCTTGTCTTTAAAGGTTTGGCTCCCGTTCTTCAAACCAGGAGAAACTTAGAGAAAAGGGGAAACACCGACTTTATCAAAGATGCAGTGTTTAAGCAACACTTTGTTGTACAAAATTCATTTTGTATCAAAGTGTATGCCCATTCAAAAAGGCAACGCCAATCAGGACAAGATTCCTCTAAAGAAGGATATGTACTGTTTTCCTTTGGAAGAAACAGACACTATTTGGCAGAATGCCACATTATTCTTCTTGGCAACTCTTGCATGCCACAGATACAACACTTCTTGAGAGAATGGCGGTCTTCCTTTGAACAAACATGTTCAACTTTTGATTGCGCAATGTAATAGGTTAAAAGAAGCACCATTCTTGTTATCATGCATTGCATCCTGGAAAACCCTAGTCTGAAGCAAAATTCATGGTTGAAATATATAACTATAACTACAGCAATATTTATTTGCAAACTATATTCTTCCCCTTCCCACTCATCAGGCACTCCTACGAAAATGAGCAACATGCCATTCAAGGATGCAAAAGCCCTAGCAGGAAGTGTATGACCTATAGCTGGAGAAGACAACCAACTTTTGTTCAATACAACCCATTGTCTCCCTTGAAAGGGGCAGCATTCTGCAAAGCCTGCAATAAATCTTTCAAACATTACAAAGGTACAGTACACAATTCATTGCAAAAAGCAGGGTTCTTTTCAAGATGCGTGATCTTCTCAAAAAAAGTTTAGTTCAAGATGCAGCAGTCATTTCAAGAAGTGCATATCCCAAGCTGTGTTTTCATGCGCAAAATGTACTGTTTCCCTGCAAGTGTCTTACTGACTACTGGTACTGTTTTCAAGAAGGCAGTGCTGCAACCCTTGAAGGCAAAAAATACGGATTATGCCTGAAAAGGGTCTAGTTCAAGGTGTCTTTTGGAGAAGAGCATGTTGACACTGATTGTTTTTGAAAAGCAAACATGAGCGACAAGGGATGCAGAACACTTTTCAGAACATGCAGAATTTCGGAATTTACAGCTGGACATTGCACTCATTTCTGTTTAATACAGAAGACAACTTTTAAAGAGACGCATAACCTTCGTCAAGAATACAGTAGATTTTGTCAAAAACATGCATACACACACATACATACATACATACATACATACATACATACCATTAAATTACATTACACATACCATTAAATTACATTACATTACATACATACATACATTACATACATACATCCATTCCATACATACATTCATTACATACATTCATTACATACATACATTAATTACACACATGCATGAATTCCATACATACATAAATTAATTGCATACATACATTAATTACATACATACATTCATTCCATACATACATGAATTACACACATGCATGAATTACATACATACATTAATTACATTACATACATACATTACTTGCAGAAATACTTTAATTACATACATACATTACGTACATACATACATACATACCTACCTACCTACCTACCTACCTACATAACATTCATTAATTACATACACTAATTACATACATTAATTACATACATTAATTACATACATTAATTACATACATTAATTACATACATACAGACATTACATTAGATTACATTAGATTACATTACATTACATCACATACATTACATTACATTGCATTACATCACATTACATACATTACATTACATTACATTACATTATATTACATTACATTACATTACATTACATTACATCACATACATACATTTAAATACATTACATTACATTGCAAACGTTACATTACATTACATTCCATACATACATACATACATACATACATACCAATATACCAATATACCAATATACCAATATAATTACATACATACATACATACATACATACATACATACATACATACATACATACATACATACATACCAATATACCAATATAATTACATACATACATACATACATACATACGTACGTACGTACGTACGTACGTACGTACGTACACATACATACATACATTAATTACATACATACATTAATTACATACATACATTACATTACATTTCATTACATTACATACATACCTATATACATATATACACACATATGTACATTGTATGGCAATGTGTGCAACAGTACAATGCAGAATTCATTGCAGGCATCAAGATCCTTGTATGTAGGTCATGTTGCTGCATTTTGCAAAGCTAAACCAACAAAAAAAACGCATTCTTTGAAAGAGACAAAACATCCCTGCCGAAAATGCATATTTTCGTGAGTAGTGTGTTATTCAATGTCCAGGCACAATGTCAAAATCATTGAAGAAAACACGTTTCTTACAATAGGCATGCATTATGTTTTGAACTGTTTTGTTTGAAATGCAGCATGACCATCTCATAACCACACCCATTCATGCATGATAGGTGCAAAACCTTGCAATATCAGACCTTTCGCAACTCCACCCCACATGCGTTACCCGCTCTCTAGAAAAAAACAAGCATAAAGATCATAAAGTGTTATAGAGAAAACAACCATAGACTACCTATCATAGATTACATTGCCATTTGTATTGCCATTCCATGAATCCATTGTTGCCATGTGAAATGCAGCCGTGTTCATCTCGCCAGGTCTCTGCAGTGCCCTTTGAGGTGAGGATCCGACCCAGGAGCCAACGCAACCGAGAAACGTGCTGTCGGATGCCATATCTGTTTATGTGCATGTGAGATCGTGTATATGATGTTTTTCATCATATAATAATACTGATATTAATAATAAATATATATATTTATATATATAATATATATATATATATGCGTTTGTATATGCATATGTTGACATACATGGCTAAAATCAATTGTGTCTGGTTGTGTAAATGTATGCATGTTTCCGTGTTTCCATTTTTTTAATGTTCATCTTCGGAATATGTGATCATGATCAGATATCTTTACGCACGGTCATTGCATTCAAAGCGGCAGAACCCAACTGCTCCACTTCCGAGGAGAACTTCCTCAGTGGTGTCCTCTCGACGGCCATCCACGGTCCCCTTGGGCAGGGCTGTCATCGACCGGTCCCCACCGAAGGGAAGAAAAAATGACCATTGGCTGGAAAGGTCACGCATAGAATTGGATGGTATAAGATGGGATTATTGGATAGAATTGGATGGGAAGCGTTGGGTTTTATTGGAACTTTTGCAAACCCGAGTGGCAGATGGTTTGGATTTTGGCACATGTGGCCCAATGACATAAACCGTCCCCAGGATAACCACAAATGGGCGGGATTTCAACCATTCCCAAGTGGTGGGTTTATGGCATTGGGTACCACATTCATGTCACTTAGCCGACGTGACTTAACTATGAAGATCGTCCGACAACAGGGCCAGTTGAGGTTGTTCATTTAGGAAAGCGTTGACAGACGCCGGGCCAGCGCAGTTCAACACCTACTTTTTGGATCAAGGGTAGGCGGACGGAGTTGTTCCGGGAGAAGCACTCAAGTGGAACCTTGGTTGAAGAATGGCTTGTGGGGATGGTAGTCATGCGTAGTCATGCCACAGCTTGCGAAAGAACAGCCCGCCCACATGCTGAGAGGGCTTGGTGTTGACTAGCCTGAAGCAATGTATTGGAGATGATGCTGAGATGTTCACCTTCTACATCTTCTCACTCTTGACCAAATTTGGGTAATGAGGTAAACCCAGTGCCACAGATCATCACCAATAGAGATTTATCATGGGTGTACCCCCTAATAATAGATGGCTAATGGGACTGTTTATGATTGAGGTGTCCGCATTATTATTCCATTTTGACCCATTCCCATCTCTTGACTCGGCTGGGACCTTTCAAAAAAGACAGGAGCCCAGCATGTCGGATCTCAAAATCGATCCTGAAGATGGCTTGGCCGTCCAGGACTTGTCTACTCTGGACGTATCTTGGCAAAAAAAAAACGGGTTGGAGCCAGAATGGGTTGAGTGGATAGAATTCCTGCGACCTTTGAGAATCTATAGATATCAGTGATATCAGTTTTAATATATATATATAACTGTCTTGGGAGTTGCCATGGCTTTTGGAAAGCGCTCGTGTTGGGTTAGTTGCTGTGCAGCCCTTTCGAAGCTAGGCATGCCCACACCAGGACTCACATTTACATTCAGAATCATTCAGATGGGTAGCAGTGGCATGGTGTGCCGCATTTGCTGTTGGCCCACGATTGCACATAGGTTGCGAGACTGAGGTGGCCAAATTGACTCCTCTGACTCCGGAAGTCATTAGCAGACAAGCAACGATGAATGTGTCTTTGGCATTTGTTGACGAGTGATGGGCTGGGTTGGTCTTCCAACTTGTTGCCTTGGGGCCAAGCCTTTGGGGTTCATCGCATTTCAACCATTTCGCATTCCGTCACATTCCATCACATTTAGTCACATCTCATCAGATCATCAGGTCATCAGGTCATAATGATAGTGATAATAATAATGATAAGCGCCGCCGCCGCCACCCCAACCACCCCCACCATCCCCACCATCCCCACCACCCCCACCACCAATTGACAACGTCAACGCTCTTGCATATGGTTTGTTCTCTCCGCACGCCGAACGATTACGGCTCCACCGATGCTGTCCATATTCTGACAGGTGGGCACCATTGGCCACGTGGCCCACGGAAAGTCCACAGCTGCTTGGCAAGAGATTTGGCTTTCCGGGTGTCCTAGAGGCATTTTTTCGGAATGTGGTTTGGAGCAGCTTGGTAGTGTGCATGTTTGGCCTAAGATGAGGCTCGCACATTGTGGGGTAGTTAATGCGATAGAATCTCATGAAAAATCTGCTCTTGACAGCAGAATGAGGTAGTGAAAGGCCTTTCTGGCATCATGACTGTCAAGTTCAAGGCAGAGAAAGAGCGTGGCTCAATCGCAATTGGACTGGCGCCTTGATGCTGTCTTCAAGGGATCGCCTTGGCATTTTGGCGCGGTGGGTCTCAGGTAACATCACCATCAAGTTGGGTTATGCCAATGCCAAGATCTACAAGAAGAAGGAACCCGAAGAAGATGTCGTGCCCTTGGCATTTCCTGGTGTTTTGGCGTTTGTTTTTTGCTCACAGAAATTTCCAGCTCCGCTGATTCGGTGAACAGTGAACAACTCAGGATGAACATCCCTACACTTCCCGCGAAAGCAGTGCACCAGACGTCGTTGAAAACGACAGTAGTGACTACAGGTGTGGCTTCTCATGTCGTTGAACATATTCAAAACATGTCATGGCACATGGGTCCCAGACGCCACGCAGAATGACCCCCAAGAACTTCTAAGAATGGGACAGACCAAATGCTCATTGCCTTCACATCCCTCTATGGTATATATCATCAACCTCAATTGACATTGACGCCACCATTATTATCCCTATATATATATATCTTTGTGTTTAGAATGTATATATGAATGTATAATATATCCGTATGTGTGTGTGTGTCCTGTGCTACTATTCTGTTGTTGAGACCAAGAACCACACCAGAATGCGCTGTTTGAAAATAGGGCACCCCAAAATTCCACGATTGATCATTGTGTCCGAATATTCAAAATGACCAGAAATTGGAGAGAGACCCCATTTCTGGGCACCCATATCCCCATTGTATTGTATCCCATCTCCATTAAATCCTTATTGTTGCTGGTTATTCTTGGTTGCATCCCCATCAAATATCCCCATCGTCAAACGCCACAGTTATTGGTTACTCGTATTAACGATATCCCACATATCTGGTCATTGAATCCTCCACATATCTGGTCGCAGTTTGGTTCGCCACGTGTCCTTCGTGGACTGTCCTGGACACGCCACTCGGAGTACTCGGAGTCGCAGCAGGTGGATATGGCTAATTTTGATTCTAACATTTAAAGTGTGCAAAGATAAAAATATAAATACATACTGTGAAGCATACCATATACATACAATCATGTGCACACACACATACTGTATATATATATATATATATGCACTGTACATGTATGGGGACAAAATACATATATTTGTGTGCGTTTTTTTTTTTTTTCCGGAGAGTATTCTGATTTCAAGCTGGTTGACCCACTTGGCTCAGGATATTCTCATGGCGACCATGTTGAATGGCGCTGCTGTGATGGATGCTGCCTTGCTTGTGATCGCAGGCCGACGCTACCGAGAATCATCCAAATGGGGTTTTCCATGAATGGGGGTACCCTCTGGTAACTTAACATAGCTATTGAAAATGGCCATTTATAGTGGATTTTCCCATTAAAAATGGTGATTTTCCATAGTTATGTTAGTGTACCAGAGGGTAATTACCCCAATAGCTGGATGGTTTATAATGAACACCTCCGATTAAAGTGGATGATGCCCATGGTGCCCCCAATAACATTTTAGGACACCTCCAAATACCAAGAGACTAGAACAGAGATGCCGGAAATTGAATTACTATAAAGGCAATTCGGATGGTCAAGGCGGCCAACTCTTGATTCCTGCCACACGTTTGCAGGCAACGAAACCTGCCCACAGCCCCAGACCTCCGAGCATTTGGCCGCGGTAGCGCCTTGGCTTCAATCGGTTGGGAAGCTCTGCCGCCGTTCGCGCGGATTTTTTTGGGAACTTGGTGGGTTGCCAGGAGATCATGCGCTTGAAGCACATCATCATCCTCCAGAACAAGGTGAGCAGCGATGTGTACATGGATGTGGTAGACACAACAGTAAAACCCCAATAGCAACCCTCCATTGCCCCCTGTTGGAGGATGGTTCTGCGACACATTCCTACCCATTTCTGCTATTAAGATGATTGAAATGGGATATGGTTTATTGTTAGACCCACCACATCACTCTCTCTTGATCTTCTTGTGGTGTTCCCACCCTTGGGCGCCACATCACTCGGAGGTGGAATTGATCAAGCAACAGGAGGCGCAGTCGCGATATGAAGAGATTAAGAAGTTCGTGGCTGGCACCGCAGCAGCCTCTGGGCAGAAAACCCACCCCACTGGCTGGGAAAGAACCAACCCCAGGGCCCCAGGTTGGTGACCTCCCCAATAAATGTGGAGTTTATCTACTGTACTTTTTCTGTTTGGATTGGGGGTGGGGGTTGGTTGAATTCCACTGATGATAATTGCTGCAGCAGAACCGCGGGTCTAAGGACAGCTCACCGATCATTCCAATCAGCGACTCTCCTGCACCTTCTTCACCTCCTTTGAAAGCCAGTAAGCATATTGCAATGAACTTTTCTTGTGACATGTTTTTGTCTAGCTGTCTAGCTCCATGTGCTTGCTCCCCCGCCATTTCTTCCCACTGAACAAGCAAAGAGATCATTTGTCGCAAATTGTTTGCACAAGGGCTTTCATGAAAGGGCAGGCAAGTGAGAACCGAGTCAAGGTAGGCTAGCAAACAATGTTGATGCTTTTGCAGCCATGTTCAGTCTCTAGTTTTCCAAGGTGCAGTGTTGAAGTACAACTTGGACGTGATTTGCCGCTTGTCCGAGTTAGACAAAGGATGGTGGTGGTGGTGGTGACGATGATGAGGAGAAGATGTGAATGGTCCGAATGGATCTGAATGGTAGATAATGGTAGAAGGGTGGAACAAATATGATGCCTTCAATGGAGTTCTCCCAAGATCTGGCCATCCATTTTTCCATTTGCAACGGCCAGTTACGGAGTTGGGTCAACGTTCGCAGGTGAGTACCTCTGCACGCAAGTGCCGATCCCGCCACGAGACTTCACATCGAGTCCAGTGATGATCATCATTCGATCTTTCGATGTCAACAAGCGCGAGGCTCAGACAGAGAGGCTGAGCTGTACTCATCTGTAATCTTTCGCAGGCCGCCATCACAAGATAGATTACCTTAAACCAACCCCCAAAGGTTTATAATTACCCAAAGAGATAGATAGGTGAAATAAGCTAGAATAGGGATAGATAACTATTTTTTGGAGGTTGCTATACCATCATTTTAAGAATCAGTTTCTCTATAAAAATACTGAAAAGATGCGGCCTTTTCACACCAAGGCCGGGAGAAGAAGTGGCGGATCTGAAGGGCGGGGTGGCAGGTGGTTCTATTCTGAAGGGAGTGACTGGGATGGCATGGGATTGGTGTGATGGCATAGGATTTTCCGTGTGAGTCGACGAATCGATATCAACAAAAGATACATAAGATCTCTCTAACAGGTTTCACAAGAGCTGGAAGGCGAGCAGTCTGAACTTGATGAGTTCATGACTGAGGTCCTGAAGATGGGTGACGAAATTGCCCCTGGGCAAATATTGGCAAATACTTCTTTTCTTTTTGGTGGGTCGGTGGTCCAGCCCCATGATCCCAGCAAGTCCAGTGTCCAGTGTCCTTGCAGGAGATTAGACCTGGCATCGTCAGCAAGGATGCGTCGGACAATGTGCAGTGCCGTCCGATTCGCAGTCGCAACACGGCTCCGTGATCAGAGTGGCGAAGCTAGTGCTGGTACTGTAGTGGTGGAAAGGACATGTGCAGTGCACAGTGCAGGACTCATAGATTATCACATGACATTTTTGCAATCACCTGCTATGGTACGTAATTACACTGTAATTAGCCCTACACGTTGGGATATGGCCTCCCTTCCAGTGAGCCCGCTGGATGCCAAGCTGTGGAACCATCTTGCCAGCTGAATCTGACGCCCATGGATGATGATGCATGCAAATGGTTGGTCAATGGAGGTATCCCACCATCATCTGCGATCATCTACCATCATCTGCCGTCATCTGCTCATCTGCCATCATCTGCCATCACCTGCCATTATTTGTCGTAGATACATCAAATAGATCACAATCAATCCAAAATAACCCAAATCCATCCATACACCCAAATAATGAAGCGCTTCCCGGCTCTTAAAGGATCCCAGCTCAGGCATCATGTCGCTCTTGGCTGAGAAGAATGCCCTGCAGTTTGCCGTGCCGGGTGGTCTCATTGGCGTCGGCACCAAGATCGACCCCAAGCTCACACGTCCTCCGGCGGCACGCTGACATCATGCAAATCATTTAGCATCCAATATAACTTCACATAGAAGTAGAATGAACATTACTGAACTATAGGACGTATAATTCTTTTCTCTTGTCTCTTCTTGTGTCCTACTATGTCCTACTGTAAATATAAATAAATATATATATATAAGTATATATTAATAATATATATAAATATCCGTTTTCTATGCGAATCTAGCGGTATGCAACCTGAAGTGCGTTGCAGTGAGGTGCAGACAAGCTGGTCGGGCAGGTGCTGGGTCATCCAGGCAAACTCCCAAGCAGCATGGCAGCAGAGGGTAACCCTCACGTGAGTGGTTGGTTGAGAACTGGATTTCCAGTATGTGGATTATGAGATAGGGTAGCCTGCGTAATTTTCACGTGTGTGTGTGTGTATATTATACATATATATATATATATAAAGACTTTCTGAAGCTTTATTGCATTGTGATAGTTGCACCCGTCAGTGCTGTTGCGGCAGTTGACTCGACCCAGGTATTTACACAGAGATTGAGGCGCCGGGCAAGCGATTCGGATCTAGGGTGCTGTGTGAAATGTAGGTTGACAATTGAACTTTTAACATCTATGTCTATAACCAACAATATGATAACAAATACGGGAATGCATCTCTCTCTATATATATAATGGATATAATGGCGATATGAATGTGCCAAAGTCAAACATAGTCTTCATATGTCTTCATTCTGGGTGGACTCTGCGAGTCATCACAAGTGGATGTGAAATGTGACAGGTCAAGTTCTACCTGCTCCGGCGGCTCTTGGGTGTGAAAACGGAAGGCGACGGAAAGGCAGGGAAGGTGGCAAAGTTGAAGAAAGGCGAGATCCTCATGGCTGCTTGGCTCGCTCGGTCCAAGCTTTCATGGTCCATTTGGCCAAGTTTTGGGAGCTGAACTGCAAGGGTTCTACCCTTGCCATACGATAAATGTGGGAAGAATCAGAAAGAACCACGTTGCATGCGGCATGTTCTTCCCATGTCATTTCCAAGTCACCCAGGAAGAGTCAGTCACATTTTTTTTTTAAATTCTGGCTGCAAAATTTCCAACATCATTCCGTTTCGCAAAACATATATCAACATCTTCTATCATCTTCTCATTTATGTCCAACAATACCTGGGATTCCTGGGATCATGATCTCCAGTTGATATTTTGGAGATGACTTCCACCTGCACCAAGGTCAACATTGGATCCACAGCTGCAGGTGGCAGAGTGCCTTGCCTCGCCAGTGACCGTAGAGAAATTCGACGAGCATAGCCTCCAGGAAACTAACATAGCTATGGAAAATCACCATTTATAGTGGATTTTCCCATTGAAAATGGTGATTTTCTATAGTTATGTTAGTTTACCAGAGGGTATTAGTTTATAGGCTATGGAAAATCGCTCTGTCTATAGGTAAATCATCTATAACTGGTCCAGTTTCCAGAGTGATGTTAGTATTGTTAGTTTACTGGAGCATTTTTTCACCACTATTCACATGATCTGAGTGAATTGGGATATTAGTGGGAGATATATATGTGAGCGGGGAGAAATTTTGATTGGATGCTGCTTGAACATGTGTGTCCGTTGTTGACGGGCTTCTGGATGTTTCTACTGTACAGATTTGCAGCACGCCCCCCAGAAAGGTAGAAAATTAAGATCCAATCCTAAAATTGGATGCATCACCTTCCTATTTTTCCGTGATGACTACTGTACCCTCTGGCAATTTAACATAGCTATAGATAATCACCATTTGTAATGGGTAGATCAGCCATTTTAATGGGCACTGTTTCATAGCAAAGTGTTAGATTACATTATATAGATTACCAAAGGGTATCCAGCATCCAGACTAATCCATCCATACTTATCCAGGATCCATTATCTCCCCATTATATCGCCTACAATTCCCTTCAAATCCCAGTAATTTACCAAAACTAACCATACAGTTAACCAATGAATCATTTATCCATTGAAGCACTTCTTTATTTTTGTTTGGGATGACGACATAGTCATGCTGGCTATAATTATGTAACTAATAAAAATGTTTTAACTATAAATAGCTAACGGGATGACTATACTATCCAACACTAAGTGTACACAACGATAGTTGGTTAACTATACGTAGCATTGTCAAACATATGACTATGATGTTAAAACAACATCCATACCAACATGGTTAACCAATGTTAGCCTTTTCTCCTTCCGAAACTTGAGCCGAGCTGTAGGTACTGGGCATCAAGGAGGACACAGACTACGCCAAGATCACCTTGACCAACCCAGTCCTTTGGACGCCTCGGAAGGCCACGATTTTTCATAGGTAATCATCATTAATCTAGTTTAATGATCTAGATGATCCAGTTATCCCGGGGTAATATTGAATCATTTATACCCCGGGGTATTAATGATTACCATTTTCATTTTCTAGATCTAGTTTCTTTTACCCCGGGCTAACAATCGTAAACAATCATCATGAATCACACTGATAGTAATAATAGATCATCACAAAATGATAGTGATAGTGACAATAATGATAATGGCGGTCAATATTATTTGATAATGATCTTACCACTAAGAAGAGTCTATCAAGGGCTTGCCACCAGCAGCCACGCATACTTCCCATGCCCATGACATTTGTGGCATCGCTGGATGATGTGATGCGATGGCCCAAGGTCTGCACGCAGGATGGCGACAAGGTTGCGCTGAGCCGACGGACCCCGTTTGCCGCGATGGTTTCTGTTAGTGCGTTTGCATCAGCCACGCAAATGGGGTTACATCTTGGTCGATGATGATGTTTCTGTGGGTGAAATATCCATTGAAGCTCTCGGTGCTGGCCACATCCATGTAGTAAGTAGGCTGATTTTCTCCCTTTTCCTTGCTGTCTTGGCGCAGGATCGACAAGCACTGGCGGCTCATTGGCTGGGGCAGTATCTCGAAAGGTTCGACTATCAAGCCGATGAGTGATTAAACCTGCCCCATTTCACTGTACTTAGCTGATTTAGCAGCGGATCTCTTGGGGGATGCCTGTCCAGTGCCAGATATCTTGCTGCAAGCCTTTTTGAACATGAGCCATTTCTTGAGAAGAAACGGGCACCATATGGCAGCATTGCCCCGGTTGGGGATCCTTGAAAAACCGATGATTCCCTTCCCTGCCAAACGTGCAAGCCATTTCTGGAGTCAAGGAAGCCAGGTTTTTTGCGTGTTGGCAAGTTGAGTTGCCGCACCAGGATGTTCCAGAGATTTATCTTGGGACATGTGAGGGCCACAAAAAGTGTATACAATCCACCAGAATCATCAGAAATTCAATGTCTAAGTTCAAGGGCTACGAGGTCCCAACAAGGCTGTGACTCATGCCTTCAACACAAGGACAGATTGTAGGGCCCTGGCTTCCTACTGTAGAGATTCAGGGTTTTGTAAGCCACAGATACGACCGTTTTTGTGCCGCTGGTTGATCTGGATAGTTCTGTCCCGCCACTTCTTGTAGAAAAAGCTGATGCAGCCTGGCGCGACAGTCTTCAGGAAGATTGGATGAGATTGGTCTTTTTTTGGGGGCGCATCCTCCTGCTTTTGCAGACCATTCAAAAAAACCTTCAAGTGCGGATCCTTTCGCTGAGCCGCATGCCGCAGAAACCACTGGCTCTTTGGCTAAGGTTGGTTCCGCCACTCCTGTTTGGCCACGTGACTCGTTGGTGTCGACCTCAGGGTCGACATGGCGAGTGTGATTTGATAATACTTGATATACTTTCATAAACTTGATTATATATGATTATATATATATTTATTCTATAATATATATTATATATATATTTTTGATGGCCGCAGGCTGAATCTGATCAGATATGTGTACAGTGTAGACTATGTCACATGTAGCATATATGTTTGTATATGTGCTGCAGCCATTTTAGTGCTTTCAGCTACCTTCGAGCTGACTGAGTAAAAGGTGCTGATCAGTGCTCAGGAGTGTTCATCAGATTTAAGAGCCCAAATTCTCTGTTCATGGTAGCGGAGCTGAGGTTCTGATACCCAGCTGTGAATGTGTAGGTGTCAACGCCGAGCTGCATCAGCTCTGGCGCGCCTACCCAGTGCCAACTGGAAAAGGTTGACACTCAAGCTCCTGAAAATCAGGAAACTCCAAAGGTACTTCCATAACCTGGGAGTGCATCTCCAACAGTATCCAAGGGTTCTCTTGAACCAGGTCTCTAAGCACCTGAAGAACGACTAAGGATGGCTCAGCAACAGCAGCCACCTCAGCAACCAGGCACTCCACCGGCACCACCACAAGCACAAGGCAACGGTCCCAACATGTCCCAGATGATCATGCAGATGATGGCCCAATTGACTCAGGGTCAGGCGCAGTTGAATCAGGCAATGACTGAGGCTATGAGCCAGCAGCTTCAGATCAACAAAAATGTTGAGAGATCTGTTGAGTACAAAGACAGATCAGAGTTGAAAGGCATACCAAAACCTGACAAGTTCAATGGAGCATCAGGCACTTGGGATAGTTGGTGGTACAAGTTTAAGACATGGGTTGAAAGTTGCCACAAGAACGCTGTGAAGATTGTGGCACAAGTCGAGTCTCAGTGTGACAAAGAGATCACTGAGTCAAGTCTAGAAGTAGACTTTGATGAAGGCGCCGAGCTAGTTTCAGCTCAGGCTAGACAAGCCCTCATATCATTGACTGAGGGAGAAGCGTTGGAAATTGTCAAGAACACATCTCGTGGTAGCCACTTTGGCCTAGAAGCCATGAGACGACTGTTGTGCAAATATGATCCTCAAAATCCTCAAGCCAATTCAGCCTTGTTGAAAAAGGTTCTGCATCCAAGTCAATGCAGTCTTGATAAGCTTCGAGAAGGGCTTGAGAGTTGGGAGAACTTGAAAAGAAAGTACGAAGACAGGAGAAAGAAACCACTTGAAGATGACATCTGCAGGAGTTGCTTGCAGCAGATGTGTCCCAACAAGTTGCAAGATCATTTGGACTTGCAGGCTTCGAGATTGACCACGTATGACCAGGTGAAAGCTGAAGTTTTGGCCTACCTTGAGAACGTCGAGACCAGGAAAGAAGCAAAGTCAGGAGCCGTTCCCATGGATGTGGATTCCCTTGCTAAGGGTAAGGGAAAAGGAAAACATGATAAAGGGAAAGGCAAAGGTAAGTCCAAAGGTAAAGACAAAGGAAAGAGTCAGTCTTCGTCTTGGTCAAACAATTCATACAACAAGTCTTGGAACAATCAGTCTTGGAACAATCAATCTTGGAATCAGCAGTCTTGGTCTAAACAGAATACCAATGACTCCAAGAGCAAAGGCAAAGGTAAGAAAGGTCAAGACAAAGGTAAAGGAAAAGGGGATCAAGGCAAAGGTCGTAAAGTTGCTAATGTTGAGTCTGACACTTGGGCTCAAGAGCAACAACCTGCAGCCTCATCTGGTGATCAACCTGAACCAGAGATCACTGCGCTGTTTGCCTTGGAAGACACTATGCCACCCAAGTCTGAAGCTCGAGATGAATCTTCTCGTCGTGGTCGAAGCCCAAGACGAGCAAACCTTCAAGCACCTTCAAGGAGCACTGTGACCAGGAGCGCTATCGTCATGGCTCAGAGCGCTTTGGCATCAGCTTCTGGGTCTAACAAGGAGCTGTTTGGCAAGATGATTGCTCAGGCTGAGAGCGCTGTCAAAGAAGCTCAGGACAAAGGGCGTCAAGCAAATCAAGCTCTTAAGGAACGCCAAGAAGCCCTGGACAAGTTGAAGAAAGAGGCAGCCCAGCATCACAAAGAGGCCAAAGAGGCAATGGCCAAAGTGAGGGCAGAAGGCCGTGCTGCTTCAGCACCGGCTGCACCCTCTCGTCGGATGCAAGCCGACCTTGATGCTGGAGTACATCCAAGAGCTGCCAAGAAGAAGGAGAAGGACAGGCAGAGAGCTGCCAGTCATCGAGCAGCCACTGCTGGACAAAGAGCATCCAGCTTCAAGCGCTATGAGTTGGCCACCTTTGGACAGGCCGACCCTGACAAGTGGGACAAGGATGACATGGGAGATCTTCCTGAACCTCCCAAAGCAAGAAAGCTGGAACCTAAGCGCCACAGAGGAGGACGTCATTGGTCTGACAGACGTAGAGCAGATGAAGCAAGGAAGAAGGCCAATAAGGAGAAGATGAAAGAGATGAGCAAGGATGAGATCCCACAATGGATCCATGACAAGTGTGAGATTTCCTCTGAGGAGAGCATTTCCTCTGAAGGATATGAGTTTGTCAGCAGACTTGAAAAGCTGAAAACCGATCCTGAAGTCCTCAGCAAGTTGGACAACGTCTTGAAGGAAGCCTACGAGAAAGCCTATGGTGAAGTTCTTGACCTAGGATCTTCTGATGAGACAGATCCAGACGATTTGCCCTACAACCAGGAGCCAGCACCAGGCATGGAGGATGTGGTCGAGCATTGGCAGAATTCCTTTCGAAGACCCATTCCATTCAAGGAGTTGCATGAGAAGTGCAAAACTGTCTCCAACAAAGGGTATCCCTATGTGAAGTGCCAGTCATGTGGAAAGGCACTCAACTCCATGAGCGTTGCAAGCTTTTGGCAACATGTGGAGAACAAGCAATGCTATCCTCAGTATGCCCTGGAGTTTTGGAAGAAAGAACATCGTCAGGTAAAGGCAGAGAGAGAGGCACGAGAAGAAGGAGAATCATCCCAGAAGCGCCCCATGGATGATGCAGAAGCCAAAGATGAGAAGAGGCGCCAAGAGATTGCCAAGGATGAAGAAAGGAAGAAGCGCAAGCAAAGCTTTGAGGAGCACTACGAGCGCTTCAGGCACAAGGGCAAAGATGAAGTGAAGCCCGAGGTGAAGAAGATCCCCAAGAGGCCAGGGGAGAAAGAGAAGGTCGAGGAGAAAGAGAAAGAAGAAAAGAAAGAAGAAGAAGAGGCACCCAGAGCACCCATCGAGCTGAAGTCCAAATCCCCATCGAGAGCGCCTGAGGACAGCCGGGTTGATTCAGCCCAGGCGTCCAAGGGCAGGGGAAAGTTCAGCATGGGCACCAAGAGATTCCTGGAGAAGACGGTGCGTGATGCAGCTAACTACATGGAAAGAAAAGCCAGGAAGAAGAGGGAGAAAACGCCATCTCCCAAGCCCAGGAAGCATTCACCAAGAGGAGGAGTTCGATCTGATTCCAACCTCGACTTCCTGGGAAGTTTGGCATCTCAGGTGGATACCATTGTCTGGGCCACCGTTGACTCAGGGGCAGCAACCAGTTGCCTACCCAAGGAATTGGCACAGTCATTGGAGTTGGCTATGACACCTGTGGATGAGAAGCCGTTCACCAACGCATCAGGGCAGCCAGTCCAGGTGCATGGGGTGTGCAACCCTATAGTGACCATGGGTGAGAAAGGAGGCCCACAAGTCAAAGGTGTGGGACAGTTCCGGGCAATGGATGTTGCAAAGCCATTGCTATCTGTGTCCAAGCTGGTTGAGAAAGGCTGGACAGTGACCTTCGGCCCCAAAGGATCGTTCCTGCAAAGGGGAGCCAAGAAGGTACCAATCACAATGACTGGAGGTGTTTTCAAGATAGCCATGGATTTTCATGGGCAGCCCACAGAAGGGTTGAAGGCGTAAGTCCTGTGGAGACCACAGAGAGCGCAGGTAGTGGAGATGATGAACCGGGCAGTAGTAAGCTAGGTTCTCAAGCGCTACCAACTGCAGCAGCGCCGACGCAGAGAGAAAAAGAAGAGCATTTTGTCAGCCATTATCCTTTTAGGAGTTGGTGTGAACATTGCATTCGAGGTAAGGCAAAGGCAATGAGACATGTCAAAGTAGATCATTCAGATGAAACAGTTCCTGTGATCTCAGCTGACTATTGTTTCATGAATTCAGTGGATGACACTGTCATCACAGAAGAAGTGCAGAAAAAGCATGCACCAGTTTTGATAGTACATGATCGATGGTCCAAGTTGACCTACGCACACGTTTTGCCATACAAGGGAGTTACCCAAGGTCCTATTGGATCTAAGTGTCTTTTGAATGACCTTAAGAAGTTTGGGTACCCCAAGATGGTCATGAGGTATGACCCAGAGCCTGCACTCAACTCCGTAGTTGAGGCAGCCAAGAATGGTTTTGACAAACAGTTGGTTTTGGAAAAAGTTCCCAAAGGAGTCTCAGAATCCAAAGGGGAAATTGAAAGAGCAGTTCAAGCTATTGAATCTCAATCCAGGACACTCAGAAGTGCCTTGGAGACAAGCTATGGAAGAAAGGTGCCAGACGACCACCCAGTTTTGACATGGTTGGTTGAACATGCTAGCACCACTTACAATTTGTTTCACAGATCATTGGAAGTCAAAGATGGGAAGACACCGTACTCTAGACACCGTGGTCGTGAGTGGAGAGTGTCATTACCACCATTTGGGGAAACAATTGAATTCCTCAAAAGAGGTCACAAGTTTGAACAAAGATGGCACCAAGGAGTTTTCTTGGGAGTCAAAGACAATACCACTGAGAAGATAGTGGGAAATGCATCAGGTGTTTTCACTGTGCAAAGCATTCGACGCAAGAGTGCTGACGACAGATATGATGCCGAAACTTTGATGTCAGTCACTGGGGTTCCCTGGGATCCTCAAGCATCAAAAAGAGATGATGTTTTGCTTCCTCAGATTGTTGGGGGAGATCAGCAGCCACTGGCGCCATCAGTGCCAGTTGAGCCACCAAAGAAGTCGACAAGACGACTTTACATCACCAAACGTGATTTGGACAAGTATGGCTACACCGCTGGTTGTGTCGCCTGTGATGCCACTAGAATTGGCAAAAGAGGCACTGGAGTTCATCACACTCCAGCCTGCAGAGAAAGGATGGAACGTCTGCTTCAAGCAGAAGAGGGCAACCTGAGAGTAGCCCAACATACGGCCAAGGTTGATTCTGAAATCACTGGTCAGAAACAAGAAGTGTCCGAAGAAGGCACAAAGATTCTTTATGGGTATTCAAGTGAGAAACCACAAGAAGTTCCTCACGGTTTTAAGGTGTTTGCGCGCCTTGACAAGAATGCAAGGTATCTCAAGGGTACTATGCCAGAAGGTCCCAGTTGGGATAATGTCTGGTGACTTCTCCATTACAACGCTGGTTGTGTCTCCTGTGATGGCCACCCTAGAATGGCAAAGAGGCATGGAGTTTCACAACTCCAGCCTGCAGAGAAAGGATGGAACGTCTGCTTCAAGCAGAAGAGGGCAACCTGAGAGTAGCCCAACATACGGCCAAGGTTGATTCTGAAATCACTGGTCAGAAACAAGAAGTGTCCGAAGAAGGCACAAAGATCCTTTATGGATATTCAAGTGAGAGACCACAAGGAGTCCCTCAAGGTTTCAAGGTGTTTGCACGCCTTGACAAGAATGCAAGGTATCTCACGGGTACTATGCCAGAAGGTCCCAACTGGGACAACGTCTGGTGGAGAGTCACCAGAGATTTTAAGACAGGAGACATCATCAAGTCTGAACCAATGGATCCTAACTTAGGAGAAGACGTCATCAACGCGCCTTTGATTGATGACGCAGATATCGTCACTGAACTGTGGTACTCAGCCATAGGGGAATCTGCTCCAAGTTTGCCAACAGCTGGACCTGCTATCGCGAGGCAGAGTCCTGCTACCGGACAAGCTGCAGATCCACCTGCAGAAAGCGCAAGCGCAAGCACAGCCTCAGCCAAGAGGGCAGGAGGCGAGCAAGAAGAAAGAGCACACAAAAGGTTGGAAATGTCTCCAACCAAAGGTCGAAAAAGACCTGCAGACTCAGGAGGCGAAACGTCAAAGTCCAAGGACAGCCGAGCTGCTTCAGCTCAGGCGTCTAAGGGCACCAAACGGCCACCTGAGAATGAGAGACCAGAAGACATGGATGACATAGACCAATGTCTTATGAACCTGATCATGGAAGATCGGGAGAAGTACCTTCAGTCCATTGAAGGTGAAGAAGAGCCAGTTTGTGAAGAGACGATTCCTCTTCCACCAGAACTGGAAGATGAAGCAGCCACATGGTATTATTACGATGATATCAGTGGAAAGATTTTAGACAGCAAAGGTGTAGAACAAGCCAGAAAAGATGAGGTCGAAATCATCGAAAGTTTTCCAGTTTGGGAAAAGATTCCCAGACACAAGATGCCCAAAGGGGTACGCACCATTGGAACACGATGGGTAGATGTCAACAAGCAGGATGAAGAGAATCCACTTTATAGAAGTAGGCTAGTAGCTCAAGAAGTCAAGAAGGGCTCAGGTTTTGATGAGTTCTTCGCAGCTATGCCCAGTTTGTCGGCTTGCTTTGAAGATGCTAGTTACAATAGCCGTCACGTTTCAGTTGCCAGACGCTGGAAAAGCTGTCAAGGAAGCCTATCGCAAGCGTAGACTTCTAGGATTTTTGGATGTGAAACGCGCCCACTTTTACTCAGATGCGACGCGTGAGATCTATGTGGAACTTCCTGCAGAAGCAAAGAAGCCTGGAGAAGATGTGGTAGGAAGATTGCTCAAGTCTTTGTATGGAACCAGAGACGCACCTCTCAACTGGGAGTTGCAAATACAGAAGGTTATGTTAGCCTTAGGTTTCAAGCAAGGAAAAAGCAATCCATGCATTTACTACCATGCAGGCCGAGACCTCAGAACTGTTGTACATGGAGATGATTTTACAACAGCCGGAACATTTGACAACATCAAATGGCTTCACGAAGAGCTGTCAAAGAAGTGGAAATGTGTGGAACGTGGTATTTTAGGACCACCAGGAACACCAAACACCATCCAGGACATCAGAGTCCTGAACAGAATTATCACATGGAAGGAGAATGGAATTTGGTGGGAACCAGATGCACGTCATGCAGAGTTGGTGATTGATTTACTCGGAGATGGTCCCCGAGGGGCCAAAGTCAAGACACCACTTGCCAAGGGTTCAGTGGAAGACCTCAAGAACGCCACTGTTTTTCTCAATGATGAAGAAGCAACCCAGTACAGATCAGTTGCAATGCGAGCAGCTTATTTGGCACAAGATCGACCAGATCTGCAAGTAGCGACAAGATCTTTAGCACAAGGGCTACAACGACCAACTACCAGCCACATGCTTATGCTCAAACGAGTTGCAAGATACCTAAGGTATCGACCACGCATGGCACAATTCTTTCCTCATCAGAGCAAACTCAGTCCATTTGTGATGTGGTCTGATGCTGACCACGCTGGTTGCGTGAAGACGAGGAAGAGCGTGTCAGGAGGCGTCCTGATGGCCGGAGGCTGTTGTATCAAGACTTACTCTAAAGGACAAGGAGTAGTCAGTCTTTCGTCTGGAGAGAGTGAGTATTACGCTCTTGTGAGCGGCGCCAGCAATTTGCTGGGAGAAGTTTCAACCGCCAAAGACTGGGGTTTGCAACCCGAGAGTGAAGTTTTCATGGACGCAAGTGCAGGAATAGCAATGGGTTCTCGCAGAGGACTAGGCAAGGCCAAGCACGTGGATACTCAATACCATTGGGTACAAGACCGCGTTGCCAAGCGCTATTTTCGGCTGAAGAAGGTCGACACTGGCGATATGCTTGCCGACGTCTTGACGAAACCTGTCATAGAATAGAAAATGAATAAAGCCTTGCGAAATATGAATTTTCACTTTCTGGAAGGTGAGCATCACCTGACACTGAGAGCATAGATGGCTTGAGCGTGGCTATGAGTAGCTGTACATATCAAAACTCGCCTAGTTCAAATAATTGGACGGGAGCGCCGTTTTTAAACAGGCTCGGGAGGCGTGATCAGATATGTGTACAGTGTAGACTATGTCACATGTAGCATATATGTTTGTATATGTGCTGCAGCCATTTTAGTGCTTTCAGCTACCTTCGAGCTGACTGAGTGAAAAGGTGCTGATCAGTGCTCAGGAGTGTTCATCAGATTTAAGAGCCCAAATTCTCTGTTCAATACACGGTACACAATCGGCTACACATAATGAGGCTATATATATATACACATAGGCTATACGTAGTCTCTCTCTACACATACGATATATATATATATATGTAATTATGAGTATTTATATATGTATGAATATAAATATAAATACATACATATATATATATACATACATATATATATATATACACATACATTCATACATATCTTGGATACCTGAGAATCTTCGGCATCGACGTGGCAGGACTATGCCAGCCTGCGAGAGCTCTGCAGCGATGAAGATCTACCAGGTGGTCCCTATGGTTGGCTGGCCAAAAAAAATATGGATGGTTAAAGTTATGGAAAGTTCATCCATTTTCTTCAATATCTAATAAAAATAGATTTTGAGAGGGACTTTCTGGTGAATTTTGAGCTGTAGCCTCATAGAAATAAGTAGAAATTGTTGGAAGCCTCCAAAGTTGGTTTAGTGCCCATCTACCCAACAGTTAATCTAGTTGGGGTTCACCAACCTAGCTAAAACAAGATTGGCTAAGGTTGGGTAGATGGGTACTAAAAATCCAATTTAGTTAACCCAATGTTACCCTCCAGTAAACTAACATAGCTGCTGACATAGCTATTGAAAATGGCCATTTATAGTTGATTTACCGTTTAAAAATGGTGATTTTCCATAGGTATGTTAGTCTACTGGAGGGTACCCAACAGTGACTCCTAGCCAGGTGCCTTTCCACATTCAGTCCTTAGCCAACTCCGGAAGACCCTGCTCTCGACCGCACGACCTACGGCTGCCGTGCTGCAAGCGACCGTTGAGGCGCTGGAGAAGTGTGTCTCTGGTTGCAGCTGCCGGGGGCAAATCATCAGGACATTGGAAAGTCATGGGAAAATCATGAAAATCATGGGAACATATGAGAAACTATAGGAATATATGTGAAAAACATGGGACAATCCTTATGAATGGAGGTTTCTAGCTGTGAAAATACATGAACAGAATCAGTTGGATGATTGTTCATTGCTATGTTTGATTGCGAGATGGTATAGTAGGCTACTAGGACCTATCATCTTGAAGATGGGGACCCAAGCAATCCAATGAAATTCCTCATTGTAAAGTCATGATAGGAAACTGAAGGAAATCCTTGATCTTCGAGGTCCTTTGGTCCTTCAGTTTGAGAAGCCTTTGCATTTTTTTTTTTCATATAAGTCGTTGGCCATCGTTGGCCTTTTGGTGGATGATCCTGGAAGTGTCTGTCAGCCAGGGTCCGAACAGAACAGGGCCCTGTTCGGGCTTGTCGAAAAATCATCTCATATCCTACTGATTCCTAGTGTATATATATATATTGTATATATTGCATATTTCCATATATTTCCCAAATTTTTCTATGGGATTTCTGTGGGATTCCTCTGTGATTTCCATGATATTTCTATGATATTTCTATGGGATTACTCCAATTACCCTTGAGTAAACGGTCACATAGATCTGGGGAACCCATGGTTGAAACCGTTTGGAACATGATCTCCGAATGGCGGCCTCGGGCCCTTCATCTGGGTGTGGGAAAATGGAGTATACCTGGCCGCAATCCAGTGGATTTGGGAGTATCCTATTTTTGGCCAAACCCTGGTAAATCCTGTAGGATAGACATGAAGAATCCAAAACCAGACCAAAAAAACACATATCTATCAGCATTTCCCTTCCCTATCACCATGTGAAATAGGTATCTCATTGAACTAAATGGGCCATGACTCCCATTGCGAACTGTTAGTTTACTGGAGGGTATATCAAAACCCACCCAAAATCAAAAAAAATGGTAAACATCAATTAAAACATCCATTTAAGAATCTACACATATCAGAATCTGTAAGCAAATCCTCTTCCATCTGAAACATAGAATTGGGTGATGGGAAAATTTACAGGAACCCCCTATATTTGATGGTAAAAACCATGGTTTCCTGTAGATTTTCCCTTAAACCAATCCATTGACTGAAACGTCTATAATTTATCCCTAGTCACCACCAGATCCCCACCCCGGTCCCCAGGCGTCACGGCCTGCGGCCCAGCCTTCCGCCCCTGGCAGCGCTTCGCGGGTCCCCTCCTGCGCCTGGCGGCGCAGCAGCACGGGCTGCGCCGCAGTGTGGCTGCAGTGCTGCTGAGCAGCGGGGAGGCGCTACGGAGGACCTGGCGCAGATGGATGCAGGTGGGGAAGATCATGGGAAAATGATAGGGAAACTTAGAACAAACATAAGGGAAAAGTCAGGAAAAAGCGGGGGGAACAAGGGGTGGAAGGTTTGGATCGACATGGCGTTTTTCAACTTTGGAAAATGACGAAACAACTATATCATGGGAATGATATGATAGGAATAGTATGGGAAAATATGGGAAACAATTTTACAAATAAAGGAATGGGGAGTTAACCCTATGTTCTCGGGATTGTGATGATACATATTATGATATATTATCATGTAATGATGATTTACTGTGGAATCCATCAAACATGAATCAATATATGGTGATTTAAGAGAATTTCATAGTTGTTTCATGGTTATTCAATGGTTATTTAATGGGGATTTGATGGAAATTAACGGGATTTAATGAGAATTATGATATTTAATGGCGATTTAACGTAGTAAACCAAATCATAAAAAATCGCCCAATAGAGGCTTAGCAATGGGATGTTGTCAAATTACCCCAGTCATGGTTGACGGGATGTGTCATTGCTGTAATTGGTTTAGGGCTTGCATATGGTTTGAAATTTGATACTTGGATGGGTCTTGAGCAATTAACTATGTATCTTAATCTGAACGCAAAATAATAGGTAACATGGTTTTACAAAATCCCGAAATGGAGTCGTCAAATTGAGGGGCTGTTTGGCCTGAACTGATTACCGATTACCTGAAAATTAATACTACACACACTTGAATATCCTCGATGTGTCTTTAGATATCTTTAGATCATTTACCGTGAAAAAAAAACATTGCCATCTTTTAGGACCAGATCCAGAGTGCTGTGGGATGTTTTGGGTCCATTTTTGCGCTTCGGAGGTCTGTGAGAGCTCCGGAACCACGGATCAGGCTGCACGAGAGCTGAAAATGGTGCAGAGTGGTGGCTGTTTTCACATGTGAACTCAGAAAACAAGCGGAGTTTATGGCGCTTCTCAGCATACATACATACATACATACATACATACATACATACATACATACATACATACATACATACATACATACATACATACATACAATACATACATACATACATACATACATACATACATACATACATACATACATACATACATACATACATACATACATACATACATACATACATACATACATACATACATACATACATACATACATACATACATACTACATACATACATACATACATACATACATACATACATACATACATACATACATACATACATACATACATACATACATACATACATACATACATACATACATACATACATACATACATACATACATAATACATACATACATACATACATACATACATACATACATACATACATACATACATACATACATACATACATACATACATACATACATACATACATACATACATACATACATATATTGCCATGTCTCGACTCATTAACTCTGGCTTTCACTGGCTTCAAGATTGTTCCATATTATAATAGTCCACTTCCAAAGACGGGTCGTTGCCTTGTTGCATCACCTCCTTGGGGTCCCAGGTTTTGATTCACCTTTCCATGGAGATCATGAGTGATATTCCAGCATAAATTCCAACCATAATGATCTACACCCATAATGATTCCAAGTTAATGATAATCCAAGTGATCACTATGGGTGATTATTCCAGCATATATTCCAAGTTTGGGAGTTGTTGGCAGGCTCTGGTCGCGGAAAGCCTTCAGCTGCTGGCCGCTTGTCGCGTGCGCGAGATGCCCAGCGAGGCTGCGACTGGTGGGATGGCTACAAATTGGAAAAGCCCCGTGGAAGTTCCGTTTTCGGAACTCGGAACATGATACGTTGAAACTGGTGGGATATGGTGGGATGTTAGTTGATCTTGTATGGAGGGTAAGTGATATGATTTGGGGCTAGAAATTATCAGAATTATCAGGATATAATTGGGGATGTACTGTACAGTAGTGGGGGATCCATGTGATATACCAATGGGCATCTGATTGGTCGTAACCAACAGGGATCCCGAGCCTAATGTTCAACCAGGTGAGACTTCAGACACTGCCTGGCCAAGTTTCCGAAAAATATACCATACTTCAGGCTACATAAGGTTTTAAAGGGCGGCAAGATTGTCATGCCTTTCCCTGTCAATCGCATACTTGGGGTTGCTTTCGTGGTCGTAACCATGTCTTGTCTAACTGGAAGTTCCATTTAATTGGATCAGCTGATCACTCTGTTTTTCTCCTCCTTTGACTCCAATTCGAATTTCGTTTCTTCAATGCCCGCAGTCTGCGTGTCTGCGTGACTGCGTGCTGCGAGTTGGAGTGCCTCCCGCCTTGTGTGAACAAACGACTAATGTTTCTTTCTGGGGGGCTTGAAACGATCAAGTAGAAGAGTTCGGTCAAGACTGGTCAAGAATGAACTTTGGCTATTCACCCCAGGTGGTAGGTCTTCTACACCAACGACTTTTCTGAAGAGAATCTGTATGTCCAGGACAGCCCTACCCTTGCGCAACAGGTCCTCCATGACATCTTGCGGGTGGCCTGTTCGTATCTGGAGGCCGGGAGGTAGCTCTGCCGTGGTTCATAGTGAATGTTCAGCCAGGAATGATCAGCTACTATCAGCTACTTTCAGGTTCCCTTTTGTTTGCCAAAAAGATACAGTACATTTAGTTTTGAATGATATATGGAACACGGATACAAATCGATAGATCGAATAGAACATATCATCAGAAGATGAACGCAAAGAATAATAAGGAATACTACAGAAAGTAATAGCAAAGAATAGTTTTAAAAAAACACATATAGATTATACATGTATAAACTATAAAGATATTTCAAAAAGACCATAGGATGATATGTCAATTTGAGATGATTTGGGGTACCATTGAAAAACAATTGTATAAACCCCCTATATAGTTTGCTAAGGTTGGTTATGTATACAGAATTATATAATATGATATAATAGGAATATACAGGAATATAACCGGCATTAACCAACTAGATCATAATTCAGAGATTTGACCCAGCACCCCAACCTGCCACATCCGAGGCCTCCCGGTTGTGCGTGTCGAGCCGTGCCGTGACGTTAGCAGCGCAACGATGCCTGCAGATGCTGGGAACACGGCTGGGACGAGAGCAGCTAATGAAGGACTGAGATTTTTGAGGAGGAAACCATAGGCACCCCGGTGACCTCTGAGGACCTTAATAGTGGAGCTTTGCTCAGTGGCGTACGCCCAAAACGTCCAAGTCATGAATGACCATGACCTAGTATTGAAACCTTTAGTGACTTGGGGATCCGCCATGACTAAAGAAACACCTATATTATGATGAACATGGTGGTTTTTGATTGGCGATTTATCATGGGGAAGCCATCCACTGGAGATATTTCCTGGGGGATAACCAACATAGATGGTATAGGTATATTTCTGCAATGTTGTGCCTTGACATCCAAATCATTTTATATGTTGTGCATTTGATTTTATAACATGGTTCAAGTATATTCATAAATGGGGGTAACTTGTATAAGTCATGCTAAAGTTATATCAATAGATAGGGAGATATAACATCAGATAGCAGATACATCAAAAAAAAACAAAACAGTTGGCAAAGATAGCTGTTTTTTGGCCTGGAAACGGATGTTTTGTATGGCAGGACGATTTTTCTGCTCAAGTGGGGCACAACCAATTTTTCTGCTCAAGTGGGGCACACTTTCACGGAAAGCATGGCTGCAGCTGAAATGTGATAGCACAGAGAGCAACGCTGCAGGACTTCAAATCCTGGCGTTTCCTGTTGTTCAAGAGAAGATGAGAGAAGGTTCGCGTGGAACTCGCATGTGTTTCCTGTTGTTTAGAGAAGAAAACAAGGAAACGCGCATGTGTTTCTAGATCTTACACTTCCAGAAAAAGTAAATACGCATGTGTTTCCACACAGGAAAATAAAAAGTGATTGTAAACGCGTATGTGTCAAAGATGAGTTTCCATATCTATACACATGGTGCTCAAAAATCTCGACGTTCGGGATGTGCTTCCACAAAAACATGGGAACGCGCATGTGCATCCTCATGAAAATACCAAAATGGCAAGGGAACGCGATTGTGTTTCCAGCTCACATCACCATCCTGCTTGGTAACGCGTATGTGTTAAAAACGTGTTTTTTTGTGTTTCCTCAAGACTGAAATCAGTAGCTGTTTTTCTTGCTCAAACTCACCCGAACCGCTGTTTTTGCCAGAAACTCTTCACAGTTCGAGATCAAAACGGAACTTCCCAAAATCACATGACAATTGCCAAAAAAACAAAAATATAACTTAACTTACACATAACTTAACATAACTTCAATTTATTTCAATTTAATTTCCCTAAGTCCTTTTATAAAACCCCTAAGTCCATCTTAAGTCAAGGCACATCTTTGCGGATGTGTTTGAAAATGGGATATACCACCCAAATGGTCGTTTATTTTTGTTAACATGATGACTAACTATTTGATGAGTTGGAAAGGGGCACCCTATTTTTTTTTCAAATGGTCATTAAGCATTTTGATTTGCCGAGTCGGTGTCATGTTTTTTCCAATGGCTCCGAAACAGACATGAAAACACAGGATTTGACGAATCTACAGGAACTCTTACTGATAAAAATTATTGATAACGTTTTGATATATACAGTAATTATATTTTTTTGTGGGACGCTGCAAGCTATCCAAGTCTAAGAAAAACAGGACCCTTTTTGTACTGGCATGTTGTTGACTACCTATGAATTGATTCTCGGGGGTTTGCACTCCTCAGTATCTCGGGGGCTTTGACCCCCACACAATTGGGAAACTTTCCGCTGATAAGAAATTCCCTATTTGGGGCCGTCCAAGTGACGACACATCTGTACACTTCGAAGTTCAACCCATATTTATCTATATCTATATATTACATAGTCAAATTTTAATTTGACTTCAAGTCAAATTCCAATGCCCAACATGAGTTTCGTCGCAGGAAGTGTCTTCCGTGGCTCCTGGCCTCAATTTGGATGCTTTACTGACAGGCCGTGGAAATCCCACAGTGAGAGTCAGGGGGTCAGAATCAAACTTTTGGGAACACATAAAGGCAAGCAAAACAGAATACACAAAACGCCCAAAACAATGCTTAGGTGGAATTTTAAGGTTTGTTGGAAATCCATGCGAAATTGTTATGTCTGATATGTTATGCGCACTCTTTGATGTTACATATATATATATATAAATACATATGTGGCCGGGCCTCAAAATGTAAGACCTCGATCCATACCCTGGATCCACAAGCGATCCATAGCCCCGATCCATACCCATGATCATACATCTCCAAGGGATCTGATCCATCCCCTTAATCCATACCCGGCTATGAAAAGTTGTACTTTTACCAAGACCACTTTAGATACCTTCTCAGCAGGTCCAGATCAAACCTCTTATAACCGCGGAACGATCCATACCTGTTTTTGAGCCATACCCCCCCCTCCCGCCCCGATATCTATGTATACTATATATAAATATACAATATACACATGTGATACATGTGCAAATTGACAAATTGGAAAGTTACTTGCTACTTTCACTAGTATATACATCTGATACCAAACATCGCTGTCACATTGCTGCATTCACCTAGGCCTAAAGTTTCCCAGCTACCTATCCCCAAGAACGGGTAGAATGTTTGAAGGTGAAATAATCCGTTGATGCATAAAATCTAGGTGAATTATATTGACCTCGAAAACATCACGTAAATTTAGTCATGAAGGCAACCACCCAAAATTCCGAACAGATCTGGTTTCTCAGGTTTGTGCACCAGTTATTGATGTCATTAATCATCGGGGAAAGACAATTGACATACATTCATTATTGAGTTTGAGGTGAAAGCCAGGGCCCCAGGGTTTGGAAAGTCTCATACGAGAAACCTAGTGATTTAGATTCAGATGGTTCAACATATAAACAGAAAAGCCTCGAAATTCCGGTGTATAGATTCTATAGAGTGTATAGAGATTATTAAGATATATCAAGATATATTAAGATATATTAAGATATATTAAGATATATTAAGATTATCATGGGTTGCCAGCAGATATTCCTTTAAATCAATCCATCGATATGGTTGTTTCCCCAGCGCCGTGAAGAAATGCCGCTTTGAAACGTAGGCCCCGCTGCGAAGCCGCTGGTGCAAGTGGCAGTTCGGGGACGGGCAACGAGGTGGGATTAACGTCGTTACGTGTTGGTCAATGGATTGGAGAACCATATTGTAAATGGGGGTTCGACGGGTTTTTGATCTCAGGATTATTAGTGACGCGGATATTTTAATATGGGATGGTTTATGGGGCTCGTTGGTGGTTTATTCGTGGTTTATTCATTAAAATGGGGGTTCAATATGGAAACCAGCTAAGAATATGAGGATGGGTCAAAGCTGGGGTATACCCCGACATTTTCGAACAGCTTTGATCATCCCAATACCCAAGGGTTCATTAAATACTCGAGTCACTAGAGGGGGTAACCCATAGCAACAGTTTTCCCATCTAGTGACTTTTTCCAAAGAATCCAAGAATTGACCTGTGTCAGACATCTTTCTGGAGGTCTTCCCTCTCCGCTGAAGTGAAGGAGGCAAGTGGAATGGCGATCTGGAGAGAGAAAACCCCTATGGTTGACGAGCATATCCCATTCTTCATAAGAAAAATCATTGAGAACAACTACAAGTTCTATGAAATGTATACTGTACTTATGTATACAATAATATATATATATATTATGTATATCCTGAATAGTTTCTATTCTGGTTCCAAGGGATTGCCCGCCGTCGAAAGTTTCGACGGATGTCAAATTAGATTGGTGTGTGCGCAACATCTTCACAAAGCATTCCCTAATCTTCAATTTTTCTGAAGCCCAGCTAATTTGATCAATTTAATCTTGCAATATAAAGCTGGTTGGTGGTTTGGACCATTTTGGATTTTTCCATTGAGAATTTCATCATCCCAACTGACGAACTCCATCATTTTTCAGAGGGGTAGGGCTCAACCACCAACCAGAAAGATTGCTGGAAAATCCCATCCCTCGTGTCAAAGATGTCAATGGGACATCCACGAAAAAAATGGAGTTTTTAAGATGTGAAAATCATGGAAAATCATCTAAAATCATCTAAAATCATCTATAAATATTATAAATTATACTGTTGATTTTCCGCTGCCACATGTGAGTACCAGAGGGTAAGTGGAACAGTGGACCTTTAAAAACTGAAAATCATCGAAGCGCTGTGGACTTTTCCAACGAGATCCATGGGGACGATTTATACCATACCCGGCCTGGTAAACTAACAGTTTGCTATTGAAAATGGCCATAGAAATAGTTGATTTAGCCATTAATAGCATGGTGATTTTCCATAGTAGTCTTAGTTTGCCAGAGGATAAGCTTGGCCACAATCTCAGAGCGAATTTTTGGGATGAATTCTTCAGAGTGGCGCCTAGTTGTCTCTGCAGCTCGATTTTTTTCAAGCCCGAGCCGCTCGTGGGTGCCCTAGAGCATCCGGGTCGCGGGGACCCGGAGGCAGGAAGATGAAGGTCTACCCTCCGGTAATCAAACATGGCAATGGAAAAACTAATGGGTATCTTGATGGGAACATGATCTAGAAGTGGAATATTTATGGAAATTTCCAATTGCCATGTTTGATGTGTCTGAAAATCTTAGGAAACTCCCAAAATCCAGGGTTTATTCACCATTTTGGGGGGTATGCCGGTATACCCTATCTTCAGACACACACACATAGCTAACCAAAATGGGGACATGACTTAACCATCAAAAGCATTGTTGTATTAAAACATCAAAAGGGATGCAAGCAATAAATAATGAGTATGGTTAGACACAACAAAAAATAGGTTACACCAATTTATGGCAATTTTAAAGGGGAAAGTGATGCTATAGACTGTTGGATTTTGGGAGTAGTACATTCTCGGGCCGGCCCTTTATAGTGTATTGTCCATCCTTGGGTGGCTCAAACACCAGACATTCGCCAGGGCGTAATGCGATCATTGTCAGAGGAGCCCACTAAGGTTTCAGGCTTAGGACCTGTCTTTAACACTCTTCAACTGGAAAGGTTCGATAGTCCTCAACTTGAAGGTATAGGTTCTTCGATATGATGTGTTGCTGTGTTACTATTGGGTTCTTGCGCATCTCTGCTTAAACTTTACGCTACTTGCACATGCATATTACATATCTCCCATATCTGAATCTAACCTAATCCAATCCAATCTAACCTAGTCTAATCTAATCTATAACCTAATCCAACCTAAATCTAATCTAATCTACAGTAATCTAAATCTAATCTAATCTAATCTAATCTAATCATATCTCATCTACATAACCTTATGTTATTTTTTTCAACTCATCCATCTTTCAAGTCGTTCGCCTTGGTACAGCCAGGTTGTCACCCTACCCCAAAGGGGTCAGCGGAGAGACAGCACAGCAAAAAATGGGGCAGTTCCTTGGCATCGTTCAAGGGGCCGGCTTGCCCCGGTGGGAAAATTGCAATTTTATGGAAAAATAATGGTGATATCATGGTTTTATGGAAAATAATGGTGATTTTATGGTGATTTTTATGGAAACAATGGGTGATATCATGGGAATATCACCAACTATATGGGCTGTTCATAGGGATCATGAAGATATGTGGACCCTTCTATGCATATCACAACATGTACACTACAGGGCAGATTTCCCCAGTAAATCATGGACGTTGGAGATAGCACAACCCCATCGTGAAATGGGTGATCTGACAACATCAGTTTGCTGTCGTTCACATGTTGATTTTCAGAACTTAATGATCAACAAAAAGTATCAAACAATGTCCTTGCAAAACTGCCAAACAGAAACGAAACATAGATCTGACATGATTTGACCTGAGAAAATCCCATGGACATGCCATGACATGCCCAATATTGTTACAACCACCAGATGCACGTTGCGTTTGGATCCCCGGTGGCCCCGGCGCCAAGATTCTGTTCCTGTGAACTGCAGGCCGCGGGGGAGCCTTGATATCTACTGTAAGTCAGCCACTTGATATTGTTGAGTGACCTAAATTACGTTGTTATATAGGATGTATATAATTGTATGTATATATGTATACACATATGTGTGTTTGTATGATTACGTATATATGGTGTATATATATATATTGTATATGTATATTTATATGTATAGACACAATGATTGTCTTAATTAACGATTCTGTTACACCCACGATACTGGTATTTAAAACCAAAACAGGTCACGTTGAATGTTCAACCCACGACTGTCATGCGCTTGGCATTGCTTCCCTCCATGCTCACTAATGCTGATTCTCCCTGAGATCCTGAATTTTAGTATTGACTGGGGTAGATAATAGTCTTATACTGCATTTATGTTTCAGTATGTATATATATATGTATATAGAGTGTTGGCTACCGATTAGTGTGATGGACCTCTATTTTGGATTTGTTCCAAAATTATTGAGTATCTTGTGGATGGGGGGGTGGGCCTCTATATTGGAAAGTTGTTTCTCAGATCCATTTTTTTTCAGAAGCAGCTTTACCCACCTTTATACGCCTTTCTTTGGGTAAAGCTGGTCCATTTACTTTGGAAAGCCATATCCATGTTAAAGCCTTGAAAATGCAAGGTTTCCCAAATAGTCAGGTGCCTTATTAAACCCTTATTTAAACAACAGCACCCGCACAATTGTTTAAGGGGTACCCCATGAGTGACCCATCCTCAATAATGTATATACTTGTTTGGATGGTACCCTGTTGTGCACAAAAACTTTTGGGGCGATTGTTTTTTTTAAGGAAAATCAATTGAAAGTAGATTCAAATGAATTGAAAGTAAATTGGTTCCAATTGAAATCATGTTTTATCAAGAGCTTTCTTTGAGGTTTAAAAAGAAAATCAATTGAGAGTAGATTCAAATGAATTGAACGTAAATTAATTTCAATTGAAATCCTTTCTTATCAATAGATTTCTTTGAGGTTTAAAGCAATTGAACCTAGATTGATTTCAATTGAAAGCCTTTCTTATCAATATATTTGTTTGAGGTTGAAAAGGAAAATCAATTGAAAGTAGATTGATGTCAATTGAAATCCTTTCTTAAGTTGATCATCCTGAATCCCCCAGGACTGGTTCCCAAGAAAATGGTGAGTTATTGAGTAGCCTAAAATTGTTGGGGGGGGCCACACTAATCAGTAGCCAACATTATATATATATATATGTATATGTACATTTAATTTATATATGTGTTTTACTTGATCTATTTATTTATTTATTTATAAACAAATAGTTATATACACAAGAGAAGATAATACAAGCTAAGATTGTATGATATGATTTAATATACTGAGATAATGTGATATGATAGCTAAAGCATGATATACCCAAGCGTTAACACCTTGACAAGTGAACCAAACCCAGGGAGTGTGTTGGGAGAGGATCCCAAATGACCAGGCCCAAGGACACTAACCACAGTGGATGTAGGGAACTTGGAATGGGGGGGATGTAACCATATTTATTTTGAGGGACGGTATTGCTATATATTCCCAACTTCCACTTGGTGATGCATTCCATTATATTCGCATTAATAAGGATTTGTAACTCATGTGAACGGAGATGGGATGACTTTCAACCGTTCTACTATTTTACTATTTGTTCTATTCGGCGACAATTATTCAGATTCATTCAAATTCGAGATTGTTGAATGTTTATTGTTTTTTCTATCATAGTACAACATTGGGCCAACTAATTAGTGACATCTCAATGTGGACTTCGATCAACGTCAATGTACTGAATCATATCGCATCTCATTACCTCCCATCACATCGCATCATACATCAAGTAGTTTGGTGGCACATGGCATCATATCTTATTACATCCGAGGGATGCGTCAGTATTTCTTGGTGTTCGCAATAATTTTGGCAATATATACCCTCTGGTTATTTAATGTTATTTAACATAGCCATGGAAAATGGCCCATTTATAGATGATTTTCCCATTAAAACCTCCATTTATAAGGGATTTTCCATGGCTATGTTAAATAACCAGATGGCAGTAACAATTGAGAAGCCACTTGCGACATCTCGCCAAGAATTTCGACCCAAATGGGCCATGGCTTCCGTAGCTCTCTTAAATTACCAGAGGGCAACATGTTTCGAAAACCATCCAACGTTGCGGAGCCAGGAGGACGCAGTGACAATCACAGAAAAGGCAGAGTTCGGTTGGAACAACGAGGAGCAGCTGAGATCGGCCCACTAGAAACAGATGTGATATATATATATATATGGTCTCGTCCTCCGTCTCTCCACCCACCCCCCCCAATGGGTTGGGTCCCCAGGTAGCAAACCTCTTCCCTTCTATTGGCAAGCCAGTGGCTGCATTTCTGAGGTCCAGCTTCGTATTTGCTAGGTCTTTGCAGCATTTCTGACTACCAGCCTCGCATTTACTAGGTACATGCTACCTTTTCGGCGACCTACGCAGCACACATACTCCCTCAAAGTACCTACGTGACGCCTACGTGCTACCTATAGTCATATATACATGTGCTATGTATCTACTTCCTATTTACTACCTGTGTACTCTGACAACACTACATGT